GTGAAACTAGATAGCAGAACTTTGTATTAAGAGTTTAAAGATATGTAAGACGTTTTTACGTGACATTACATTTTTGGCATGTTTGGCGGTGACGATCCCAATATCTACTGCCTCTGTCGAGCGGACATTTTCAGTCCTCAAACGCATTAAAACGTGTTCAAGAAGTACAACTGGGGAGGCTCGACTGTCATCACTGGCGTCCATGAATCAAGAACGACCTCTGGCTGGAACTGAACCGCACCGATGTACAACCGTGTCATTAAACTCTCTGTAGTCAAAGAAAGGATGGACTTTGTCTTTAAATAGTGAACAGCAGCTTTGGTAAGTGAACTGCTTTTGTTTTTTACATCTGCAGTAGGTTCTTGTGAGTTTGTTCTTCTGATGACGAAGCATCCCGTCATGCTGGCGTCATGAGGTTATTAGGAGGTGGTTGAACTGTAGTAGGACAGCACTGAAGGCCCAGGTATAAAATACATGGCCCGCCACTGCATTTACGATTAACAATATAACAGAGGTAAGAGTCGGACAGAGGGCAGTACAGGGACGTGGTCAACATCCTCTCTTGACTAAAAAGATTTAAATCCTGTCATTTGCCTGCTGCCTGATTTCCCCATCCTCGGTGCATGGAGACTGGACAGTTTTGAATGTAGAACATTTGAATTATGCTTTCAGGGTCAGAGGAACAGCCTTTCACTGCACCACACATGACTTAATTTGGTTCCACTTTGTTTTTTTTATTCCTTTTTACTTTTTTCCTAATCATTTATAAACGATACTGACGATTAACATCGCACCACTTTGTAATCCTGCTTGTGTTAATTTTTCTCTTAACACAAATATGTGGATGTACAGTACATCATTTTAAAAATCAAAAAAAAAATCTTTTGTACAATCTTATCTTTGTACCCCTACCCGTAAGATTGGCACAGACATTACACATCTTCTTCCTCTTAACTTAAAGTAGAATAATACAATAAATAAAATTGCTGGCATGACTTACTCTATCGGGACAGTAACACTGGACTGCTGCGGAGAGGTTATACTAAGGTGTGTGTGTGGGAGTGACCAGGTATGTAGACGCTATAAGAGCAGAGTGACAGCTCCTCACCAGCCACTGACCACACCAACAACTGACCTGGCTAATAACGACTCTGCAAACAGACACACCTTTGACTTGACGTGAACACAGGACCAGTCATGCGGAACATGCTGACGTTCTCCCTCCTGCTCTTTGCTGCTCGCTGCTTGGACACATTGAGCATGCGAAAGAGGCCTTTCTGTCCACCTGAGAAGCTGAACTGGACAGGGCAAGACGGTACTGCCAGAAGAACGACATTGACTTGGTTACTTTCAACTTGGTGGAAGAATCGGAGCTGGCTCAGGTTTTGAAGAGCATTGGGGTCGGACAAGCCTGGATCGGTCTGCTCAGAGACCCCGAGATAGAGGCAGCGTGGAAGTGGATCAATCTGAAGTGAGCACCCTGTTTGAAATGGTCTTCATGCTGATTTCATTATCTCGAAATTTAAAACGAGGTAAACTGCAGTTGCTTAAACAAGATGTCGTTCATTTGTTTGTTTTTTCAGAAGTGGAGAGGGGATCTCAGGAGACGACCTCTCGCAGAGCAGCAGCTGGGCCGATGGAGAGCAGAGCAATCACTGCGCAGTCGTGGCCGAAGATTTAAAGTGGCACAGTGAGAAGTTTTCATTGTCATATGGTTTCTACTGCTCAACATTTTACCGAATTGGACAATCTTATCACAAAGGTCCCCTTAACTGGCACGACGCTTCTCAGGAATGTAAACATTCTGATGTGCGTATTGATGACCCAGCCACAGTCACCTCAAACAACACAGATACATTCAAAGATGTTGGCTGGATTGGACTGTACCGAGAGGCTGGTGACACCTGGAAGTGGATCGGAGGTCAGGCTTCTGACGACAGAAACTGGGCACCAGGAGAGCCACTCAATGCGGACTGTGGCTCTTTTGATCCTCACACTGAAAAGTGGCACAGCAAAGTATGCTCTGAGGAGCGTCGGTTTGCCTGCTATGATGACGACATGGTGGTGGTGAATGAGAAGAAGACATGGGAAGACGCCCTGAGTCACTGCAGGCACATGAAAACCCCATGTGAGGACTCGTTGAAGGACTGCAATTACCGCTATGACCTCCTGAGCCTGGAGCCCTTGTCTGACTACAGCTACGTCAGAGGCCGGATCTCCAGGGCCACAACCGATGAGGTTTGAGTGGGTGGAGGGGTTTAAACATTAGCACAAAAAGTCGTTTTCAAAAGAGTCTTGATTTGGAAATGAATCAAGTTGCTAAAAGATTTTTTTCTTACTGCTTGTGACCCTTGTGAAGCAATGGTAAACCTGGTGTAACTGCTTGCAACATGCTGTGGCAAAGAGTGATTGTTCCTTATCTCATAGTTTACATTGATTCTTTTTATTTTAGGCCCGCGAAAGTATAATATTTCTTAATAATAACAATACAATTAGAAGAAAGTCCGAAGAAATAAACATAGTAGATTTATATCCTTTTTTCCTTTCTTGTCAATATTATTTTACAGATTTTTCATGAATCATCTAAATGCAAATTTAAATATTATTTTAAATGATATCGGCTCTTTTAAATGCATCTATTGATACATTACGCATTAAACACTGAATGGGGGCATGCTCCAATTTTCTGATTGCAGGCTACATTTTGAGTAGATTGAAATGCTTTACTCGTGAAGGTTACACGGTAACTTTAATTTTCAGCTACTCGGGTCTTTGGCTTAAATGACAGTTCAGTGAGAGATAGAAGATTATTCGATTTTTTCTGTTGCAGGAATTGCAGACAGCAACCTCATTGTTTACAAGCTCTAATCCTCATCAAACAACAGCCTCCTCGACTAAGCAACGGTGAAAGTGTGAGCAGTCAGAGACGAAACAATTTTAGAGGGAGGGACACTTAAAACTCGCCTTGTGTTTCACAGGTTTGGACGAGCCTGCGCTTCTTGGGAGGGGAGTGGTGGTGGGTGAATGGACAGAAGCTGGAAGACCGGGGGATGCTGCCAGACTGTCCGTCCCAGGGGAAACACTGTGGGACTCTGTCCAAATATGACCCAAACAACTGGATCATCAGGGACTGCTCAGAGCAGAGAAACTTCATCTGCTACAGAAAATGAGAGAATTAAACAACACTGACAACCACTGGGCAAGTTTAGGGCTTAGAGCTTTTCAATGCTCCATTATCAATGTGTGTTCTGTCAGTAGATTTTAATACTGAGCTCTCTCTATAACAGGGCTCTATATTCTGTAGAGGTAAATATTTTGTTTTGAATTGTAATATTTTCTGAAAATAGAAGATTAGATACTCAGAAATGTGTATTCCCTGGTTTATTTAGCCAAAGAGTGAGAAAGAATATTAGCACACAGAGAGTGTGAGGACATCCTTTGACCTTTATCAGAAAGAGATGTGACGGTTTATACATTATCATGCTTGTTTTATCTGTACTGTAGAAATTCTAATGGGCAAAACATATCATGAACATACATACACATATGAATACTGAAAGTTTGCCTAACTATTCATTTAAAGTCTCATTACTTGCTCCGGCTGCATTCCTCCAGTGATAAATGCTTTAAATAAAACACCATCTATTGCCTTATGTATCATGTATATAGGTTGCATTCTAGTTTGTTTATCTTTTCAAAATGTACTTAAAATCAGTAAATTAAGCCACGAGTATCATAGAGGCTATTTAGGAACCAAAATGATGTCATAAATACGTTTTCACAAAACTGTTTAATGTGTTAACAGTACAACTTCTTTATGGCTGCCAGATTTATAAAGGTTACAATTTCCCATCAACAGCCACCTGAAAATAATAAGCCATTTTCACAGCAGCCACTTTGACATGTTACACAGGTGTAATATACAACATTAAGTATGACCCTTTTCCTTTTGGTGGGTCAGGATACTGGTATTGTGCATACTGGCTCATTGGAATGCATGACACACTAAATCAAGGGGTCTCAAACTCCCGTCCCGCGGGCCAAATCCGGCCCGCCACGTCATTTTATGTGGCCCGCGAATCCGCCAGCAAAAAAAAAATAAAAAAAAAATAAAAAAAATAAAAAAAATTAAAAGTTAGACTTGATAATAAAAATATCCCCATAGTCGAAATTATGAGATAGAAAGTCGAAATTACGAGATAGAAAGTCGAAGTTATGAGATAGAAAGTCATAATTCTGAGATCGAAAGTCAAAATGATGAGATACTTAAACACACAGTCATAGAAGCAGCTCTTTGGCTGGTTACCCTACATGTGACATGGAAATGTATGTGAGTAGGCTACATTGAAGACTACTTTAAACGTGGCTTTAAAACACGTGAAATACTTCACGTGGGATTGTGCAAATGCACCCTTGAAAGGATTATAAGCATTGAACAAAGTTATTGTAATAACTTGTGTTTGATATTTGTCTTTGCTATTTTATTTAATATTTTGATCTTTGATAGGGTTTCTTAACCCTAAATTAAAAGGATTTAAGTTATAACAGAAATGTGCTTAAATATATTTTTACATTTATATAACTGCATGTACAATATTTTTACACTTGAATAAACAATAATCAAATGCAGAGACAGTTATTTACCAATATGTTAGGAGTAGTTACATTTACACAGTCTTACATTTACAACCGGCCCTTTGAGGGCGACCGTGATGCTGATGTGGCCCAGAGTGAAAATGAGTTTGAGACCCCTGCACTAAATAGAATGGGACCATAATTCATCTGATCATACTGTTATCCGCATTTGGGATGTTGGAGCTTCCTGAATGCACCACGGAAGGTAGTTCGGAAAATATTAACCAAGATGTTTAACAAAATAACTGACTCACAATTAACCTAATCCTATCCACATACACTTTGCGTGTGCGTGTTTGTGTGTGCATCTTGTGGAACGTATTGGTAAATTACTACTGGTGTAGTCGGACGCATTTGGAGGTTGAGCCGACTTTACTTCCGTTTGTCATTCGACAACCCGAAGCACGACAACCTGCTTCTCTCCAGCTCTTCACACCTAGTAAGTGCTGACACTGAAAGGCTGTGTTCTACAGTAGCTGCTATACTGTTTAAATGGTAGCTTAATGAAGACCAACACGGCAGATATTAAGTATCCTCGAGACCTCTACATACAGAAACGTGTCTCACGTTTAACCAGCGACAGCATTGTAACGTTAGTTTAGCTAACGTCAGCTCGTGCCCAGATTATTAATTTCCTCAATGACTTTAACGTTGTATAGCTGAATAGCTCTGTAAATTAAGTAAAACAGAAACCTGCCAAACATTTGTACTTGGCGATGACAGACTTGCTATTGTTTTATAAACACTGTAATTCAGCCTGTTAGCCTGTTTGTGTCAATGTAGCTGCAGCACGACACGGTACAGGCGTCAGTGTAGCATCCTCTGAAACTGATAATGACTTCATAATAAAGTAGGCTACAGTTGTTGTTAAGTAGACATAAACATGTAAAATCAAGAAGTAAACAAATAATGAATGTGGCTACAAATAGTTGTCATATAAGTGATCGATTAGCCGATCAACCAGCAGCAATTTAGAAATTGATTTACAGTTTGCTGCTAACCTCACATTATCTGTTTTAAGCTTCTCACGTGCAATAATATGCTGCTTTGTCTGTCGTAGATGACAGTGAGTGTAAATTTAATATTTTTAAGTTTGGGGCTGTTAGTCGGTCAAATCAAGACATTGTTTTGTCTCCTTTGACCTCTAAGAAGTTGTGATTTTCACTATTTTTTGACATTTAATAAAATATGTCGGTATTAAAAAATATGATTTAAAAAAAAAAAAAAACCATGTCCTGTTGTATCAACAGTCTGTGAAGTCCTCTCTTCTTCCTCTCTCTTTCTCTCCAGGGAGCTGAGTTTTGTGACCAGACACCATGACACTGTTTCACTTCGGGAACTGCTTTGCCCTGGCCTATTTCCCTTACTTCATAACATACAAGTGCAGTGGCCTGTAAGTGTCTGTCTGAATCAGGGATCTGCAACATGTGTGGTGACTGATGCATGCTGTATATACTGTGTATGGTATCCATCAGTCCAGTCATGGCCAGTGAAGCATAGTTACAGTACAAGATGGAGAGTAAAACACTGTGTAGCACCACGTTGAAAAATCATTATTTCATCATTTCTTTGTATTCCTCTGTTGTAGCAGCACATGCTCAGAGACTTAAGAAGTCTGTTAATAATCTGTTTAGTAATTTCAAAGGTTTGGGTGGAGTCCCACATAATCTTCTTAACACTGTGTAGTGTGCTCTTGAATTTGGCAGTACTTTGCCTTGTTTCTATCACCGTTATTACACTGAAGTCTCAAAGCGTTGCAATATCCCAGATTGCCAATTTCTGCCTGGACCGCCTGGTCTCCGCACCTCCTTATTTTACATTTCACTTTGTGTTTGTGTGTTCAAACTTTAGTTCAGAGTACAATGCCTTCTGGAGATGTGTCCAGGCTGGAGCGACCTACCTGTTTGTCCAGCTCTGTAAGGTGAGTGAGCTTTCTGGTGATTAAATGATGCTTCACCGTAACATTGAGCAGGGGAGATAGCATCGCATCACAAACTATGCTGTCATTTTGGTTTTTGGAGTGTCTCAACTCTTTTTTTTTTTGTGTTTCAGATGCTGTTCCTCGCTACATTTTTCCCCACATGGGAAGGAGGAGCTGGAGTTTATGACTTCGTCGGGGTGAGCGTCGTTACTTCGAAAATTTCTCACACTCTGTCAGATTTTGTGAAGTATTATAATTAAATATACAAAGTACGCCAGTAGAATACCAGTTTGTGTAGGAGGTTGTAAGGTGTTGGGTTTGCTTTCTAGGAATTCATGAAGGCCACAGTGGACCTGGCAGACCTGTTGGGTCTCCATCTTGTGATGTCTCGTAATGCTGGTAAAGGGGAGTACAAGATCATGGTGGCCGCCATGGGCTGGGCCACAGCAGAACTTGTGATGTCCAGGTGAGCAGCACAGAAACATTAGCTCCACTTTGTCAAACTATTGTGCGTCTATTAAAAAAACAACCAATGAATCTCACTGTTGTTGTCCTGTTGTGGCCCTCCAGGTGTCTCCCTCTGTGGGTCGGAGCCAGGGGGATTGAGTTTGACTGGAAGTACATCCAGATGAGCTTTGACTCCAACATTAGTTTGGTGAGTAGAAACTATTACAATAGAATAAGTTGTTTGTGTTCAGGAACATGGATTGCTTTCTCTCTGTCTATTGATATATTATAATGCCGTTGTATCTGTGATGTAAATGTTTATATGATGGGACCTGCGTTTGTAAAAATAAATGAATTTGTTTTTCTGTGTTTATAGGTCCACTACATCGCCATGGCAGCAGTGGTGTGGATGTTCACGCGATACGACCTCCCGAAGAGCTTCAGGCTTCCTGTGACTGTGCTGCTGGCTCTCTGTGTCTACAAGGCCTTCTTAATGGAGTGAGTGTGACTCGCTTTCACACACACTTGTGTGCTCAAAAGAAACACCATCTGACAGAATGCATACAGTACACACATAAGAGAGAAGAGTGGTGTGAGAGAGTAGGAAAGTGGATCAGCATGTTTCCAAAAAGGTATTTGTTTAAAGGAAAATTCAGTTTTGGTTTGATTTGACTGCCCATGTGGTGGCTGCACTTTGATTTGTGAACCACAGGATGGCACTAGTTACCAGCAATAACATGAGCAGTAATGATGATTGCACAACATATGAGAGTAGATAAATACAGGTGCAAATAAACTACAAATTACTCGCATCACTTGATGTACCGAAAATGGAATAAATGTATTATTAGCACACATTGCTAATTAAATCATGAAAACTCTAAAATGTTGTTGATGTTTTGCCAAAGAATAAGGGATCAACAGGAGGAGCAGCAGAGCATTTTATGAATCCGTTTTGTAAAAGGGTTAATTGTGTTGTCAGGGTTGGTGGCTGGAAGATACCATATATATATATATATATAACAAAATGCCACCACCAAATACATACATGCCTGTTTACTTGTGTGCTTTATTTACCTGAAATAATTTTAAAACTGTAGGCTTACAAAGGCACCAACAAGTGGAAGAGATTGGAGTTTTTAAAGTCTCTGATGGAGGTTTTCAGTAATGCACCATTTTGTTTTGTTCTTAACATTGTGTTTTATCTCTCTCGTGCCTTCAGGTTGTTCGTCCATGTCTTCCTGTTGGGCAGTTGGACCGTGTTGTTGGTGAAAGCCGTGCTGACTGGTGCCATCTCTCTCTGCTCACTGTTTCTCTTCGTCACTCTGGTCCACAGCAACTAAGTACATCTCAGCCCCCTGGGTTAAGCCTGCAACAGCCTCTGTGGTCCAGACTGGACCTGGGTTGTTCCGATACCTTTTCAGTCTTGAGTATCACCGTACAACACCAAAGACTACTTGTTAATATTGGGTATCTGGACTGGTCTCTCGTTAAAACAAGGCTAAGCTACCAACTGGTGAGCTAACCAGTTCTTCCAGTTAGGTTTATCCGTCTGTACAGACCATTGATGGAAGACATGCACTGAAGCTTTGTTTGCTTTCAGTCCACCAGTTAAAGCTGCGGGTTGAGTGGTGACACCAGGAGTCTTCTGTAATATGATTGGCTTACTACGCTGTGTTGTTTTTTGTTAAAAGATGAATTTTGTACCAGAACAACCACAAATGAAATGAGACTTTATATATAACTTATTTTCTTTGTGTTGTCCAATGAGCCAGAGTAAATGCTTAGATTAGATAGTAAAGTGAATTTATTACAAGTGAATGACAGTGATAGTTCTGTGTGTCCACCAATTTATCAATTTATTTATCTACAAGTTATTATTAGTTAAAACATAACTAGCAAGATTTTTCAATTTTTTTTTAATCATTTGTGTTAAAGATTTAAATAAAAAACAGGCCTGCTGTATGAATTAACTGAAGTCCTGTCAGCATTATGAACACATCATGTTGAATTGTGATTTTGACATTAAAATAAATATGTCTTTTTGTTTTATCTTGCTCTCATATTTAAGAAAATCATTTAAAACTTTTTTTAAACCTGGAAAACTGTGACCTGTGCATTGTGGTTAATCTTGGCTACAATATAGTTAAAATAAAGCTAGAGATTAAATATTTGAGAGCATTTCAGTTGATCTCCTGTTGTGATACTGTTATCTCCCAATTTATGGAAGGTAGTTTATTGAACACTTAAGTCGTGCATTTGGTTTGTCTGCAGCTCAGGTGTATTTCTGCCATTTACAGATCAAAAGTTCTCACTCTGTTGACACACCTCTATTACACCTGAGGGAGTGACTGAAAACATAAAAGGAATGTTGAAGAACAGGGGGGACAAAGAGGTTGATCGGCATGAGAGAATTTGGTTTCAAAACAACTTTTGTGTCTATCAAAAGCGGCAATAAAGGGAATGCTGCAAATCTATAGTTCTAAAAAGAATCAAATTCAAACCTAAGCTGTGTTTAGTGAATACAACTAGTTGAATTCACAAGGGTTTAGCTCCAAATATATAATATTCTACCTTCACACAACACACCTCTTGTTAACTCTCCTCGTGTTTTTCCTCCGTCTCCCCCTTTTCCAGCTAGTTTAGCTCGCTCTGCTTCTCTCTTCCTCCTCTCTCAGCTGGGGTCTCCGGAGTCTAAGAAAGCTGTCGTTATTGACATTCTACAATAGGCTCTGCTGTTACCCAATACACATGAACACTACCTTCTCTGTTTACTGCTGCTGCCAAACTCCCGCTTGCCTGTCGAGAGAGAGATGGCTGCTGTGACTCATTGACAATAGCCTGACCTTGTGAATTTCAGTGAGAATTAGAGCATGACTCTACCAACCATGGCCCATACAGGTTCATCCACACATTACAAGATTAATTGTATGAGCTTGTAGGACAACAAGAGGGCCATCCTACCCAGTCTAGGAATGAATTAACAAGGAAACTAGTTGTAGATAAGGTTCTTAGGACTTCCTCAGTCACATCCTGGATACCTGCATTACCCAGAGTTACACAGAGTCCCGAAGGACCCCTAAAATTCCAATCAATGTACTTGTGAGAGAGAAGTTCAAAGAGCATTAAGACACGCTCCTGCCGCCTGCGGCATTGCAGTGATCATGTCTCTCCAATTCAGTTTTATCAAGCAGGCTTGTGTAGGCTTGTGGAAGCAAGCGCACCGATCCGTTAAACCTGCCCTTCAGCACATACAAAGGTTCAACCCCTGCATTCCAAAACAGCTGATGATTTGCAGCACTACATGCCATTCAAAAGAATTATGGAGGAGAAAAAAAAGAGGTCCAGCCCTGTTAATAAAGAGCAGGTCAGAAAAAACGGGCCATGTGAGTAATAGGAGAACTTCCTCCGAGAGAGAGGAAGGAGCAACATAGGCTACCAGACGAACAGGCCACCGATCCTTCTTGAAACACTTAAGCCAGGCACAACCGTCATGTTCTCAGTTGAGTACATTCAGTACCACGGCATTCTCTTACCTCCTCTGGCTCACAGCATGGAGAGCTTGGAGTATGCCGAAAAGTTCTGTGTGGAAGACTCCGATGTGTTTGCTGTGACTTACCCCAAGTCAGGTACAGTATATTCATTCTCGTCACTGTTTCTTTTCAGCTTTTCCACTATTCCCTGACAGATGCAGCACGGTCAAACAACTTTTGTAGACGCAAACCTGTTTACACATATAAGGAGCAAGCATGTTGAAAATTCACCGTAATGCAATATCAAAGTCTGTATAGGCTTTATATAACGGATAGATAATAGCATTGGGCATGTTCTGCTGCCTTAAAGCACCATGTGTATGGACTATAGGCTACATCAGGTGCTTGGAGCATCTTAAACATCCAGATACAAGATCAGCATCCATGCTGCCTGAGGAAGAGAACTGATCTCCGTGTGTTCAACACTTTCTACACTTTGGTACTGTGAAGCTGTTTTGTGGTTTCAATCTGGAAGCTTGTTTCACCACTGCATTTTACATGGGTTGACTCCAGTTCATGGAGTATGGAGGGACTAACCATGTAAACCAGTCAAAGGGAATACACACACATTTTGTCTAAATTAATTTTATTATTCTTTTAAATTAGTCTATATGGCTTTGTTTTTATTTAAGTCTTTTTTCCCCCACTGGTTCACAAAGCCTTACAGTGAAATATGCAAGTTAGCGGCTTTAGATTATCCTCTCCATATATAATTAGATAAGCTGTTCTGATTGTTAAAACACAATAAACAGAAATCAGATGAACTATGGGCTTTCTTTAGTATCTGATCAGGAAGAAGTAATGTGCTGCCTTCAGGCCGCGTTCGGAAAATTGAGTGTATAATAATATCGTTTGAATGAAATGGTTATTATGCATGTAGTTGTTTTTTCTCAGGTATAATTACGAAACGGACGCTTTACTGATTGTCTAGATATCTGAGAGATGCGGCAGAACTTTAAAGCATTTGTGCTCTGGTAAATAATTTATACTTGAAGTAAGAATAACACAAAACAAAGTTTGGAGGCCGAAGATCGTGGGGTCATGGAGTTTTTGTATTTTGTATGATCTTTCCATGTGCGATTATGTGTCAATTACGATTTTCCCCGTCCGTACCTGAACGCAGCAGCTGCAGAGCCGCCTCTCTCCGTGATTGATCTGCGCTTTGCAGCTTTCAGTAACTTTGTGTTATTGCTCGCAACACGATGTCTTCTGAAGAAATGTATCTGCTGCATCGCGGACTTATGCTTCCCAAAGTGACTCACTCCGTAGAGAGCTTGAAGTTCGCGCAGGAGTTCACGTTTAAAGACGAGGACGTGACGGCTGTCGTGTACCCGAAATCAGGTCAGTGTTTCTGTGAAACGTTCAGGCTCACCGCCAGCTTCACAGGGCAACTTGACGTTTAGAGTAACAGGTGTGCATACTTCTGTCATTTGTGGGGAAATTTCTCTGACAGGGTGTCATTGATCGCTCTGCTGATGACACTGTGAGTTAGACTTAACAGAGTTGCAGAATAGTTGTAAAGGGTTAGTTCACAGTGTGGAATGCTTGTACATGTTCTCTTCAATGAGCTATGACTCTAAAGTTCCTAAAGAGAAGTCTTCATGTATTCCCATCATCTGATGATGTGAGGACCCAGTAGTGTAACTTTATTTTTGACTGAAATGTCCTCACAACGACTGGAAAGCTCTTTTTGATGAGGGTCAACGCACTTTAAAACTGAAGCTCAAGAATGGATCGATACCGAATGTCTGTCACCCAACTTCAGACCAGCAAGCTGTAAGTTTTGCCATTATTACGTTGTTTTACTGTTTATGTTGCAGGTCAGCCTGTTGAATTTACAAACGTTATGATTCACGGATACATAATTTAACATTTAACACAAGTTACACTCAAAGTCAAATGTTCTGTAGAGTTAGTGGCACCATCCAAATTAGCGAGACCATCAGAGCAGCATCTTGGCTGATCTTTACATCTTTTTAGTGACCTAATAGCTCACAATGTCAAAGCGAGACTGTTCTGACCCTCTCTTGTTATTCTTCATGTAAGCATTGATGTAGGGGCTTATAGGATATATATGTTTTGTCTCCAGATGTTGCTGCAGTATCTGATTGACGACAGCTCATCAAGTGCCGCAACAGCCCCCCAATGTGTACCGATGGAATGGTGAAAAAACATTGAGGAGAGATACCCAAAGCTGTCCAGAGCATTCCCCGTCCACCCGTGTGCCGTTCTCTAAAGCAGGTTTTATTGCGCTCAAAACAAGGAGCGCAAAAGAATCAAGCACACACAGGTCTGTTTCTGTTTGATCAGGTAGCCAGAGGTGATTTTAAATCCTTTTATGTGGTTTTAATTAGTTTTTTGAAGATTGTGAAATCGTTCAGCCTACAGGTGGATACCCACTGCTGTGCTTCGAGCCTGTTAGGTCTCCGCAGTGTAAGAACTATTTGTTATGCACCCTGCGATCTATTCGGACTTTTGTTTTGTTCTTTTCCTTATTAAATAATTAATTCATTAATTAATCTATTAGGCAGGCTTTAATTTGATTTGCCAACATTGTGAAATTGTTTAGCCAAAAGATTATCTTATTATTTGTTATTTATATTTGATAGATTATTTATTCATTGATACATTATATTTTACTTTTGCATGGATGTTGTTTTGCACTTTGTCATTAAAATACTCATTTTATAATGGTAAAGGATCTTTGAATGTTTATTCTATATTGTCTTGTATGAAACACGTCTATTATAAAATAAATTATTTTTGCCAAGTCAAGACAACAAAATGTTTAATTGGCGTTTGTTTGGTGTAACCGGAAGCCAATGTCTCAAATGAGAATATGGATCATTGAGAAAAAACTTTCGGCAAGACTTGACCAATCAGATTCATCTATGTACATTTTTAGTCTGGGACACCCCCACAGTATGTCTCTGTTGTATTCTCCCTCTTTAGTTAGTGGGGTTTTAATCTTCCAGTCAACGTTTCCTAAATATACTGCAGCAAGTTTAAACCTTACAAATTGCATAACTCTTAGTAAATCTTTAAACCTGGTCTTCAAGTCCTCTGAAGGACCAGCACATGATTTAGGATACGACTTTCAATTCAGAGTTGCCTTTAAAGATGCACAAGGAGAAAAGGGCCTTGACAGCGAGACATTTGGGAGCAACGTTACCAGAGTCTCTTGCTGAATCTGCTTGAAGTCCTTGATCTGAGCAGTTTTATGTCCATCTGTACATCCGTTACTGTTGCATTGTCATGGTCTCTGGGGGCACTCCATGGAGAGCTTAAAGTATGCCCAAAATCTCTCTGTGGAAGACACCAGTGTGTTTGTTGTGAGCTTTTTCTTGAAGAATTTTAACCGTGGTTGATTGTGTGCTTGTTATTAGGGTAAGACAAGCACATAGTTTAGTGTGCTTAAAAAGGAATGTGCTCTTTTGCTCATTCATTGATTTGCTTTACATACCTCCTTATTCCCATTCAGGCCCACAGGGACCAAGGCTTTACAAGGAGGTCATTGTCTTCAATGTCCATCACGAATAAATATCCATAAATCTGTTTCGAAATCATAGTAAGAGTAAGGACACTCCTTGCAACCACACAACTTTCTCCAGTATCAATGTAATCCATTGATAGTTGTCTGTACATCCATGTATACAATGCAAACAGGAACTGCTAATTGCTAATTCGGCATGCTTTAAATGATGCCAATTTGCCAAAATGTCAACTACTATTGGCTAAAAAACAGGGCTCAAGTGGGAGGTGTCCTGATTTTAGACCATGTATTGTTGCTTTCATCAGCATGTTGGTGTATTTCACTTCTAGTAGAAGTAAGTATAACAAACTCTTGCTACCCCTGTGGGTCCTGGGAGCACATGTTCGCCAGCACACGGTCAAATAGTGTTCTCAAACGTTCTTTATTCAGTTACAATGTCAGGCTGGACTGGGCCTTGCGCTCTGCTGCCTTCCTCCGAGCGCACGCCGTGTGGGTTTGCTGAGGTCTGCCGACTTCTCTGTCATACTGTCAGTCTGTGTCTCTTACCCCGCTCTCTTGCGTCTCCGTCACTACTAGTGTTTTTATATCAGAGAGAGAGAGACACAATTCAAGATGGGTTTCAGCTGCTCCAAATTAAGCTTCTTCCACCGTTCCCTGAACCACTCCCCCACTCTGTCCCCTCTGCAGCTGAGCCCGAACACGCCCCGCCACCACAAAGTACTTGCAGCATTCTTGTTATGTTTAATCTGCTGTTTAATTATTTTTTGCAGGTACAATCTGGATGCAGGAGATCCTCCCGCTGGTTCTGAATGGGGGGGACCTGACGCCGATCCAAACCATTCCGAACTGGGACAGGGTGCCCTGGCTGGAGGAGAAAAGATTAGCATTGGTTGTGGATAAGTTGGAGTCTCCGCGGGGGCTGGTTACACATTTTCCTTACCACCTCATGCCCCCCTCCTTCCACTCCTCCAAAGCCAAGGTAAGAGGATGGAGGCTTTGTGTGACATTCCTGTGTGATCTCTTCTATGCAATCTGTGCATTGTTGCACGTGAGAAACAGGGTTAATACAAATAACACCTGTTATGTTATTGAATTAGTCTCTCGTGTCTTTGCTGTAGGCGATCTATGTCATGAGGAACCCTAAGGACATCTTGGTGTCTTCATACCACTTCCATAAGATGGCCGAATTCCTCGAGTCTCCAGGAACATTTGATGAATTCATGGAGAAATTCCTTAAGGGCAAAGGTCAGAGGTCTCATAACACATAGGAGAGTTTAATTTGATAAATGTTTGAATTCCAGCAGAGTGGTTAAGCATTCTGATGGTATTACCAGATTTTAGCTGTTGAAAGTCCTCTTTGTCTGTCGTGTCCACTAAAGTAGAACAGTGGTTGTTTGTGTTTACATACTGTGCTCTGTTGTCCGTGCTGTCTGCAGTGCTGTTTGGAAAATGGACGGACCACGTGAAGAGCTGGAGGGCCGCAGATCTGGGAGACAGAATAATGTACATCACATATGAAGAAATGGTTCAGGTAAACTGAATATAATCAATATATAATAAAAAAAAAAAACTGTTGCATATATTGATATTTAAGTTATATTGCAATTGCATTACAATTGTTACTAGTATTTTGACTGATGGAAGGCGACCTCTTTTACACAGTAACACAACACTGTTACACTGTTCACTGTTATAAGACACATCGCATTGTTTCAGTGGCTTCATAGAAAGAAGTTTAACAAAATGTCTAGACAGTGAGCAGTGAAAGGAGCACATCTGTAACACAGCTGCATCAGTCTGTCTACACAGGAGGCGTTCAGGCACAGCATTTAGTGTAGGTCTCCTGCATTTTTTCTGTAGTAAAGCACGGACAACAGAGGAAAATAAACTTCCGCAGCCGGTGTAGATATCAATATTGATTAAAATCGAAATTATTGTTCAGTCAGAAGTGTGACGGACGACTGGAAAAAAAACCTGCTTAAAAGCCTCCCGTGTAGACGAACCATAATTAAAGCCACAGCAATGAGATGCTTCTTAAAAATGACCAGTCAAACTTCATCATCATCGGGGGCTTCACAACGAGCCCTCATTGTAGAGATCATGCAGAAGATTCTTCATTAGACAATGTGCATTATAAGATGAAAGCAAACACCCGTTGCTTTTACATAAATGTGCCGCTCTTTTAGGACCTCCCTGCAGCTCTCAGGCGTATTTCAGACTTCCTGGGCCGTAATCTGAGTGAAGAAGCCATTCAGAAGATAGCAGAACATTGCTCCTTCAAGACCATGAAGAACAACAACATGTCCAACTTCAGCCTGGTCCCTAAGAAATACATGAACTCCGACACATCTCCATTCCTGAGAAAAGGTGAGGCTCCAATTGGATTATTAGGAGTAAGGAGTGAGATTAAATCAGATATGTTAGTGGATTTTCAGTATCAGAAAAAACTGTCTGACTGCATTTTTAGTTGATTTTCTTTCCCATCAGGGATTCGCTGCGTTCATGTGACTGTCTTGGTCTGTGTGTGTGTGTGTGTGTGTGTGTGTGTGTGTGTGTGTGTGTGTGT